AGCGCAGTTCAGAACTTGAACTTGAACAGTAACATGCATATGTATGTTTGGTCCTTCATTTACCCTCAAAAGTTCTTTCTCAAATGACAGCAGTGTGAACCAGGGCCCTGGGTTAATTAATTTCTGGGTTGAAGTTTTCCTTAAGGCTGACTTGTCTTTAGACTGGAAGAAATTCTGTACAAGTGGCTGGGGTCTCCTCCTACCACACAAGACAGACAGCATGAACTGCGGAATCTTCATCATGAAGCCACTGGGCACTGGCTCCAAGATGATATTGGATTCATGAAATGGAAGACCACACCTGGCGCTTTGTGGATTAAAGGGACCTGTGAGATCTTTATTAATATGTTCCAATCCCATGTCTAATTGGTCGCAGCTGGCACCGGAAAGAGTGTACTCAGGTATTTCATATCACTACTATATATATGGTCTACCACTGACGGTAATCATATGGTCAGCTCAACAGTGATTGGGGAAATTCTTGGTCCTTGGTCTGCAGTTGCATTTTTCTATTTTGATTTCAGGAACGAGAGGCAGCACCTGAACCTCATGCTACGCTCTATTGTCTGGCAGCTCTCTAGATGGTTGCCCTCTCCCCATAGTGCTCTCAATCAGCTGTATACAACACTGGGAAATGGAAGTGTACAGCCACAGCTCATCCATCTACAAGAAGTCTTGGAGAACTTACTTTCAGAGTTGGGCCAGACATGGATTGTTATTGATGGGCTTGATGAATGCACCAAGCCTGAGTGGAAGCACCTCATCCAGTTCATCCACAGCCTATGTGATCCTGCCAAGGATAAACTGCACCTCCTGTTTACCAGTCAACCTCTAGAGGACTTCAAAAATGCATTCAAGGATGTAGCCTCCATTGAGCTTGGTTCTGCGGTTTCAACTGGCGACATGAGATCCTTCATTGGCAGTGAAATCCCCAAGATGGGAAATTGGGCCAGTGACAATGATTATGCAAATTATGTCACAGAGCAAATTGTGCAGAAGAGTAACGGAATGTTCGTCCTCTTATTGTGATGTAAGTCATTTTGAAGCTAACTTGTATATTCAGGTTTCGCATGGCTGCATGTCTCCTCATTGAACTGGGTGGTTGCTTTTTCCGAGAAGATGTGGAGGAGAGCCTTACAGGCCTCCCAGCTGACCTGTTTGGGATTTATACCCGTTTCTTAACCCGAGCAAAAGATACTCTCAAAAAAACAGTCTTTATTCAAGCAATTTTCCACTGGCTTGTGTTCTCTGCCAGAGAACTCACACCAGATGAGCTGGCAGATGCTATTGCATTCCCCTTATCAGACCCCAAGTTCGACTTTTTGGACCCAGCCAAATCAATTTATGACCCAACTAGACGTGGAGGCAACACGGAAATCTTCAAACTGTTGGAGGGTCTAATTGTGATCAAAACCAAGGACAGGAATGAGAAGTCAATCACCCTTGCACATTCATCTGTGAAGGATTATATCCTTTCCCCTCAATTCCATCAGGAATTTGGCACAATCATTGACCTCTCAAACAGGGTCTCCCAGAGATTTATTACCCAGAATTGTCTCCGCTATCTTCTTAATTTTGCAGAGCCCAAGCATTCACTGAATGAGGAAACAGTCCAAGGCTACCCGATTGCATCATATGCAGCCAAATATTGGTTCCATCATCTACAGCTTTGCACCGAACAGGATCAAGAGATGCTACTTTCTTCAACAATGCATCTTCTGGTGGATGGAAGCAGCCAACATGCTGCTTTGTACCAATTGCGTCCCTTGCATTTTTATGAAACACGTGTTTGGGATGAACCAATACCACCAGTGGTGTGTATTTGTGCTGAAATAGGTTACACTAAGGGAGTGCACTCTCTGCTCATTGAACCCAATGCACATGTCAACTCAGTCACAAAATATGGCTGGACTGCGCTGCATCTCGCATCGGAGAATGGTCACCTTGAAATTGCAAGGCTGCTCATTGAACACAATGCATCTGTTGATTTAGTCAATGGATATGGCTGGACTGCGCTGCATCTCACATCATTTCATGGCCACCTCGACATTGCAAGGCTGCTCATTGAACACAATGCATCTGTTGAATTATTCAACAAGGATGATTCAACTGCACTGCATATAGCATCAATGATTGGTCATCTCGACATTGCATGGCTGCTCATTGAACACAATGCACATGTCAACTCAGTCAACAAAGATGGCTCCACTGCTTTGCATCTTGTATCGGAGAATGATCACCCTGATATTGCAAGGCTGCTCATTGAACACAATGCATCTGTTGACTTAGTCAACAAAGATGGCTCAACTGCTCTGCATCTCACATCAAAGAATGATCACCTCGATATTGCAAGGCTGCTTATTGAGCACAATGCATCGGTTGATCTGGTGAACAAGGATGGTTCAACTGCACTGCATATAGCATCGAGGTCACGTTACCTCGACATTGTAAGGCTGCTTATTGACCACAATGCATCTGTTGATTTGGTTAACAAAGATGGCTTGACTGCTTTGCATCTTGTATCGGAGAATGGTCACCGCAACATTGCAAGGCTGCTTATTAAGCACAATGCATCTGTTGATTTGGTCAACAAGGATGGTTCAACTGCATTGCATATGGCATTGAGGTGGGGTTACCTCGGCATTGCAAAGCTGCTTATTGACCACAATGCATCTGTTGATTTGGTTAACAAAGATGGCTTGACTGCTTTGCATCTCGTATCGGAGAATGGTCACCTTGACATTGCCAGGCTGCTTATTGAGCACAGTGCATCTGTTGATTTGGTTAACAAGGATAGTTCAACTGCACTGCATATAGCATTGAGGAGGGGTTACCTTGACATTGCCAGGCTGCTTATTGACCACAATGCATCTGTTGATTTGGTTAACAAAGATGGCTTGACTGCTTTGCATCTTGTATCGGAGAATGGTCACCTCAATATTGCCAGGCTGCTTATTGAGCATAATGCATCTGTTGATTTGGTCAACAAGGATGGCTCAACTGCCCTGCATATAGCATTGAGGTGGGGTCACCTCGGCATTGCAAAGATGCTGATTGACCACAATGCATCTGTTGATTTGGTTAACAAAGATGGCTTGACTGCTTTGCATCTTGTATCGGAGAATGGTCACCTCAATATTGCCAGGCTGCTTATTGACCACAATGCATCTGTTGATTTGGTTGACAAAGATGGCTCGGCTGCACTGCATCTCGCATCAGAGAATGGTCACCTTGACATTGCATGGCTGCTCATTGAACACAATGCATCTATTGACTTTGTTAAGAAAGGTGGCTCATCTGCGCTGCATCTCGCATCAGAGAATGGTCACCTCGACATTGCATGGCTGCTTATTGAAACTGAACACAGTGCATCTGTCGATTTGGTCAACAAAGATGGCTCCACTGCTTTGCATCTTGTATCGGAGAATGGTCACCTTGACATTGCAAGGCTGCTTATTGAACACAGTGCATCTGTTGACTTGGTCAACAAAAATGGCTCCACTGCTTTGGATCTCGCATCAGAGCATGGTCATCTTGACATTGTGAGGCTGCTCAGTCAACACAATGTGTCTGTGGACTTTGTCAGGGAAGGTGGCTCTTAGCATCGACAAATGGCTATCTCGATATTGTAAGCTGAACAGTTCAAACCCATCATTGTTCCATCACTGATAAATAAGCCCATGATTTTAGCACTTATGGATAAGATGTCAGATGCTGTCCAGGATAAGATTCACTCTGAGGTAGATTGGATGTTTGATAGGTACATAGAGGTAGATGACACAGAACATTGGTATACATGCTGCTATATGGGTGGCCTTAGTGTATGGCACGGGTTTAGGGAAGCCCGCAGTATTATGGGTAAGGGTGCCGTGCCCTCTTTGAACAAAACAATTCATTTTGGATGCTATTTTACCAGTTGTGCTTATTTTGGCCTCCTGTTTTTGTCTGTGATCATGATGAACTATAATGATCATAGTTAACTTTTCATTCAAACCTGTTCCTGTTTCTCTAGGTTGAACTATAGGTTTTTGCCTACCAGACCTGGCCTTTATTGGATCATTGAATCAGAACCAGATTTTGGTGGTTCAAAACAAGATGTGGCTACATGACAAACCCAACTAGTGATTTCCAAAACAAAATATCTGGATATGTAGGTATCTGGGTTCTTGTAGATTGCAACTCCATGGTCGAAAAGGAAATATCTCCGTTTCGGCCTAGTAAAGTTTTTTTGCACACTCCCATTCTGTTGTTGTTGTTGTCCCACCCCCACATCTTGCTAATGTTTTCTGTTGGAATACTGCAAGCCGGCTTGTATGTGGACACATACACCGCCACGTTGTGCATGGAGACGCACAGCCTGATGAAACACGTACCGATGGTTTCAGCTGGTCTGACGCCATTTGTTTCTTGGATTCCATTGTCCTACTGCACCTTGTTTATTGTTCCTAGATGTATAAAAGGCCCGAGATTATCTTGAATAAACATAGAATTCTATTGCACCCCCGTTTGAACCAACCTACAAATTTCTACATTTTCTTCCCTTGCCTCACGCAGGTAAGAGAAAACCTCGGTTGCACCACCTTCTTGCTCAAAGAAATGAACCGGTGAGCTTCAGCACTTCGGTATTGTAGACCACAAAAAATGATTGTCTATGGGGGTTGCACTCCACACAAAGATCATATAGCTTAGGACAGTGTGAGCTATCACTTTGTGATATGCTCCCTCTGCAGGCGAAATCAGGAAACAAACAGAATGCAGAGCGAAATAAAAGGGCTCTGCAAGAGGAATACGGATGCAGAATAAAAAGCCTCATACAATCCTATGGCCTGACTCCGAATCAAACGGAGACCTCACGAAGAAACATTGGGGGATGTATCCATCTTGTGTGTGTTACTGTTACACTACCAGGCCATGATGCTCTGTAACCGAGCTGCCTTCAAATACGGGATCGGACTGGGAACAGAACAAGTAATAAAAGAAATTGACCTAATGGTGGAGTAGGGCCAGACTCCGAATTGAACGAGGAGCTCACAATAAAGACTCGGAGCAGTTTTAATTAAATTGCACGTGTTACCGTTACACCACCTGGCCATGATTCCGATGCAAGCAAACAATTGGTATTCGGAATGGGAACACAGTGATACACCGCGGATCGGGACGACCGGGGGAAACGAGCTGGATACTGGGTCTCAATGTCTGGCTAAACCACACACTAAACACACTCCAAATCAAACACCTAATCACTTCTCCGCTTGTATATGCGTTCGTGGGGTTCCAACCGAAGTATTACAGGCTGTTGCAATAGCTGAAAACTAGGTTTCGACTTAAAGCTTTAAGTCAACCAGTTTGGTTTCTCGGACGGAGTCGGACCTATTGGGCGCTGATGCGACCTTTATAGTTCTTAGAAGAGTTGTGGTTTTCAAAAAGGTTTGTGGTGATATACACCGGGTGGTTGTGTGGTGAACTAAACTTAGTTCGGCACTGGGTTTGAACTGTAACTGAAAGTTGACAAGTTCCGCTGTAATATTCGCTGACGCTGACGCTGTGACCCTAAAATGCTGATGCTGACCCTAAACGCTGACACTGACGCTGACCCTAAAACGCTGACGCTGACGCTGCACAACAAATATAATCCAATCCCAATATATTGATAGACACCAAAGTATCTCTAAGACACTCAAATGTACACCAAATGAATTCCGTGAGACTTCCCAGACGGAGGCACGCGTTATGCTGTGCTCCTAACAAGAAGGGTACGGTCCACTGCTTCCACCTAAGTTTTACCTCTACTTATATACTAAATCCTACACACCAAATACTACAAAACACGGAAACTTGATACGGTAATATACATAATGGTCCAAACATTGAGTCCATGATGATACGGACTCCTACTGAGTACAATCTACTAGTTTACATATGAATCTTGGCTTGAAAAGGAGAATAATCTGCATGGATGTTGGTACAATTAAAATAAATAATATACGTCCGCTTCTGGCGTGTCCAAATAATATCCCAGCCTTGTCATGTCGTCCCAATTCGGTGTGTGTGACTCCTGGTGAATCAGCCTCGAGTCATTCGAGTCAATTCGAGTCATTCGTGAATAGCCATGTGAGTCTGTTCGAGTCAAGACTATTAATAGCTTCTTGGCATCACGATTTTGGTTTAGCCGGCGACAAGACCTTGCTGCCGCTACTGCTCCCTTTGAGGTGCCGTTCCTGGCTATGCCGTCGGACCTTTCCGGTCCTTGGATCTTCGGCTTGATTGACAGGAAATGTCAATTCTACTGCAGACAAATGTTCTAGTCAACATAGGGTGCCCCTGCAAAGCCCCCATTCCTCAACCCTGGTCACAGATGGATAGTATTTCCTCCTGTCCTTGATTAGAGTGAACACCCAACTCCTACGAACCCTGAGGGTTTGTTAAAAGAGAAGGTTTGACTTAAAGCTTTAAGTATGATTTTGACTTTCCGGCCAGTATTGACCTTCTAGTGAGTTCACACCTTACAGCTATTTGCGGAACATAAGGCGCGGATCAAATTTTTATCAAAAAGGGTTGTTTTCACTGCTACCCCGATAACTTGCTCAATTCTTCACCTGGAGCCCTGGAACCATTTTCAATCGATCTCTGGGGGTATTTTACAGTGCTTAGGCCTGTTCTCAAGTTTCTCTTTCCCGCTGGTGGATTTGTAAGCAAATGCCATGGACTTCCAACTGCTGACCCTGCTTAAAGAGGAATTCACGTGAGGATGCCCTAGCCTTTTGTCTGTGGGTGTATGAGTGTCCCATACAGTGCATAGTGTAGCCTGTCGGGCAATATACCTTCCTGCCATGGCACAGGTACCACGATCAAATGAATGGATTTATTGATGTGCTTGTTGAGATGTTTCTCGTGGCAGAATTGCAACATAAAGTACCCGGCGCACTTGGAAACACATATATAAATATAGAGACAAATATTCAGCACCCCTCAATAGATCCTTCCTTTGAAGCAGGGGTAGCAAGGTAAATTTTGATCATCTGGCTTACTCAGCCATCACTGAATAAGAGAACTAATTTGAGCAGACGGCACACTCTGGAACATTCATTGAAGAGGTCTAGTGAAGGATTCACGGCATTTGAGGCAGAATTGCATGCATTAGAGGGGCAGCAGTGAAAATGATCAAAGTGGCCATTTTTAGAAAAAAAATGATCCACACCTTATGTTCCGCAAATAGCTGTAAAGCTTATAGTATATACACTGCTGTCTCCTAGCTAGCTGCCCGGACTGACACTAGCCCTCTGTTGAGTGATTTATATAGCTGATTACAATACAGCTAGTGGCACTGAATGAGCAAAATCGGCAAATTCCGCGCGTGGCCCAATTGCTGGCTTATCAACGGAGCCATAATAAAAAGTATATACACTTTGTGGGAAGGACCAAGCCTTGATTCCGGTGCAAGCAAACAATTGGTATTCAGAATGGGAACACGGAGCCATAATAAAAAGTATATGCACTTTGTGGGAAGGACCGAGCCTTGACTCAAACATGGGCAATGCAGAGACACCAATTGTATTTAAAATCAACCGTAGGTGCTATCAACTACGCCACTTGACCATGATTACCTTCCACATATCCAGAATAATAGTGAAGGACGGGAGTTGCGGAAATCAAAAAGGGTTAACAACCAAGGATAGTGGCCGACCCTTGGTCTGAACAAGGACTATGTAGAGAAGCCATTTGCTGTGAAGTAAGTCAAACTGCAGGTGCTACCAGTTACACCCCTCAGCCATGATTCCGATACGCAAAAAGGGAACTCAACCAGCAAAGATACTCTCTGCACTAATTAGGGCTCGACCAGTGTGAGCTATCACTTTGTGATTAGCTCTGAGCACCCTTCTGTCCTGAAGAAAAGCACCCAGCAAGATCATTTTCAAATGTGCCTTTCTGTTAGTGTGATAGCACTCTGACATGGAAACTCAGAACTTATGTGGCATAAAACTCAGACAGCCTACTACACACAAGAAAGCACTCACAGAAATGTGGCATGCACTATAAATTGATTGTGTCTGTTACCGTTACACCACTGGGCCGTACTTGCGACAACGACTACTTGGGGTACAAACAGGGGGAAAAAAAGGCACCAAACAATAAAAAGAAGTGGTTAAATTTTCCAAGGCCAGATCCCGAGTTGAACAAGGGTAGCGGATCAAATATTGCTTTAACCTCGATCAAGCATCTGCACACTAACCGTGCTATCTGGCCGTGATAGCAGGAAGGCAGGAGGGAGACACAAATGACCGGAGGGGGAACTGGTAGTTAGGGCAACAAAAAGGGTGCAAGCACTGTTTGAAGGAAACACGCAGGCACTATTGGAAGGAAAAGGTGCAGGCACTGTTTGAGGGGAAAGCGTGGGTGCTGTTTGAAGGAAAAGGTGCAGGCACGTTTGAAGGAAAGGCATGCGACTGTTCTCTTCAGACTAAATATATTAATGATAGAATACAATTACTCACCTGCGACCGTTCTCTTCAGACTGAAGAAATCAGCCGCAGGCCTCTAGAATATACACAACCCCCGTGAATCAAACCCCGCATGTCGGTCCCCATCGGGATGTGACTGGACGTGAGGTCAACACTTCAACACTTCTCTTTGGACCTCCCTCGCTAGGTGTGTTACAGTTCCCTGTACTCTAGTGTATCTTATTTATATCTTTGGATCTCCCTTGCTAGACTCTTGAGTGTTCTCGGGCTTCGGGGTTGGACTGCGGTTCTGTGAGTTGTTTGACCTGGGCAGGTATAGTCAGCCACTGGTCACAGAGTTTAATTCATCCTCTACGGGGAAATTACTCTGTCGCAGAGATGCATAGCTGATGGTACACTAAAGGTAGGTTTGTTAAGTTTGGTAGTGGTGGTGATACAATCTTCTCCACAAGGAGTGAACGAGCACCAAATTCCTCGTTGGGGGCTGGCCTTCCAAACAAGCCGCAGTTGGAGTCTTCTACACTTGCGCGAAGGGTTTGCTCCATAATGTGAACACTGTTCCACGCCGGGATGCCTGGGTTATGTGGATTTCCTTGTCTACCCGCCTCGTATAGTCTGAACGGTGAATATCTTCAGAGGTACTAGTAGACAGAGACCAAAAATAAATGTGTCCGCACTGATCAATCCCATACGGAACAGTTCGGAAGTGTGTGCCGATGCTTTCCGCAGAAAAACACATTGCGACAACATGATTATTTTCAGCGCATGTGCGTCTCAGTTTACAGGCAATTCTATACATGTATTATACCAATTTGGACGTGGCAAGAGACAGAAAGGTCAAATAGTCATGTACGGCTGAGTTGCTTGTATAATAAACAAAGGGCGAACACCGAAAGTTATGACTATAGTATGACATTTTGCTGCGGAACGGATGTTGAATCCTGTCGGATATGGTAAACAATAATGTGTGGAGCATTACATCTCAAGTCATCACTGTGAGAAGGATTCATCATGAAAGTCAAGACACGTTGTCATGAATTTCAAGTTTCATGATGTTTTATCAGGGATGGGTACTTGAAGTTCATGACACGGTTCATGATGGTTAACGATTCAACATGAAATTGTGATCCTCCGCCTTTTCCCAGGACTGTGGAGCCTAGTGGAGCTGGACCCGTTGGCTCGGGCAAGGTACATAACTCAAGCCATGACCTCCCAATATTTTACCATATGTATAGGTTTACCGCCCGGTCCGCTGGGTTGTTATCTGCCAGTGGCTGTACAAGTGATCTGCCATATGCTGCACTGACCCTTGTTTAGCTAGCTTTAATTCACAGAAATATTTCAGGGACTATTTTCAGTCCAGGGGAAGGAAACAGCACCAAAAAATCAACAGAAAGAGTCCACTGTGCGGCGAGATTCATTGAGGGCAGATAACATGGTAGATAACAGCGGTTCACACGGTTGCCACACGCATCAATCGCGACCTCGCGATGCATTGTGCGCACAGTAGGTCTTTTTCAAGCGGAAGGCTCCCCCTAAAGAGGTATTAGAGAGGTAACCTACCCCTCAGCTCAGCTTTTAATTTTTTTTACAGCTCTCCCTGTACCAAAAGAGAGATTTCACGCCGACTTCCTCTTTGTCTTCAAATATTGTAAATTGGAGGTGGAAATGGTATGTTACCAGGAATTTTAGTGAGCACCCTTTAACCTATATTTACTTCTCTCCTGATTAATCAGTTCAAATAGCACAAAGTACTTAAAGTGTTGTTGTTAACATGGCTGGCACTATCCCTGAACCTTTGTGATATCATACAGCATGGTTCATTCAGTTTTACAACGTCCCGAGAGGCTTCCAGCATCTTATTCCGAGGTTTTAGTGAAGGCCATCCGGAACATCAAACCCGGTGTGAGCTGTCACTTTGTGACGTGCTCCAAACGAGCCGAATCGGGTGAAAACACCAGGTTCTCCGTATCAATAAAAAGCATCGGATACACCACCACCAGGGCCAGACCCCGAATCGAACAGGGTACTCTTGGAGAATCGCTCCATCCCAATGTATCGAGTCCAAGCGTGTTACCGTTACACTATCTGACCGAGTACTCACCGAGACCACAAGGATCCAAGGCCGAACCCCGAATCGAACGGGGAGCTCTTGGAGGAGCGCTATCCGCGTGTGGTAGCACGCTTGGATTCCATCCAGCCGCATACAACTCCGTACCAACAACGAAAAAGGTTAAAGAAACGCAAGGGCCAAGGCCTGACCCCGAATCGAACAGGGAGCGCGCGAAGAACTATTTCTTGAAAAAGTACACCTTTCGCGTGTGCTACCGTTGCACCACCAGACCACGACTCCGATAGAACAGTACGGGGGGACTTACGACTGTGAATCACCGACTCACTGCGCACTTCAATACGGAGGCGGGCCGAGAGCGGACCGCTGTACGGAGGAGGTTCTGGGAAACGGGAGGACTAAACAGGAAACGGAGAAGGACACGAGGCAGCTCCGTTTCGGCATTGACTCCTTCAAACTCGGGGAGCACATGGGGAGCGATGCGGTGAGTCAGACTGGAGAGCCCGTTTCCTAAAAGAGGAGTTATTACGCGCGCGGGTATCGGACCGAGAACAGTATAAAAACCCCTTGTATTAAACGGAATATCATCTTATTACCTCCCACTGCATATACCTGAAAAGCTACTCCCCCTGAAGTACACCAGGGCGGGGATTATTAAATACATACACTTCGCTACGGGTCACGCCGCCCGATAGTGGGACAAACCAAGGTCACCAAGGGCCGGGGTCTGTCAAGAAGATTCCAATCGCCTCACTTCCGTTTCGCTAAAAGCGATACGGAGGGAATTATAGTCAATCCGGAGTTGAAAGTGCGCGGTAGCAGATTACGCGGCGAATCACCAAACGGCCAGTAGCCCAAACTTGGCTTCGTGCAACCGTTCATATTCGGAGTTCGAGCGCATATCCCTGCGAGGAACCCACCCCATCGTGCACGGAAGGCCTATCCGACTCGATAATACCACTTCCCACCTTCCTTTTCGCACCATTCACCCCCGAGTCTTCGAAACGGAGCATCCCCGTTTCAAGGCGTTCACACACGGAGAAACCAGGCTACGAAGGGGAACGCTATAGCCATCCGTACCGTGTTACACAGTACTGAAGAGACCTGCCGTCCGAGTCGTTCGAGACGGGTGGATAAGTACAACAGATAACCCGAGTACTCCGGAACGGAACAGCATTCGCATTGCGGAGCGTACCCTTCGAGCAAGTGTAGAAAACTATCCATCCGCGGTACCTTCGGAAGGCCAGCCCCCAACGAAGAACTAAAATCTTCGAGGAACCTGGCAAGGCGTTCAATCCAAACGGAGAGAACTGTACACACACACACACACCACAAATTATTTACCGCGCATTAGCGTACCTTAAACTACGCAGCTCCGCGACAGAGCAATTTCCCCCTAGAGGACGAATTAAATTCTGTAAAACACTACTTGACTATACCCACCCCGGGTCAGGCAGTTCACAGAACCGCAGTCCGCATCACACCGGCCATCAAAGGATAAGAGCGAGCGGTTGAAAATGACTGGAGAGGTTTGCAGCTCAAGAGCCTCTCTAAACCTTCCAGAATCCTCTCTTTCTGGGAGATGTTTTCGATTTTTGCACCCCCCAATACCCAGTCTATTGGGGGGAAAACCCATGTATATGCGCGACACGAACCTTTACTACATAGGAGTAAGTCAGTTAGTTAATCTTATTTGTATGTTCACTCCTTCCGAAGTCCGAGGTTTCTCAATTGCTTAGCGTCCCACATGTCAAGTGACTGCATCGAACCAGTAGTAGTGGTAGTAGTGGTGGTGAGGTGTTTTTTTCAGTTCCAGCCAGGCTTATTATTCACGATGAAATGTTATGAAGTCATGACAAGACATCATGAAAAATATGTTGACTTCCCATAAGAGTAGATTTTTTTTCTGGAATTTTTGAGGGGTGCCAGGGATGTCGGCATGAGGTGTTTAATCCAGAATTCTGATTTCCCAGCGGGTGACTTTCCGTAAGCATTAAATATTGCTATTAGAATTTTTCAGCGGTTCTGCCGATGCCGGGCCACATATCAGGACCCCATCAGATTTGGATCTGGGATTTCGTTGCTTTTGACCCTCGTTTAGAGCTTGTTTAATTTTAATCTGAAGAAGGGGGGGGACCCCCCGACCAGATTATACTTGTGGTTCATAGACTGGAATAGACGGTTTTGGATGCTTCGCCGATCCAGCTTGCCCAATTGGGCTGGATCGTGATCATATAGCGCCGCGGCCCTGATCATTCATGATGACTTCTCGCAAGACTTCTCCAAGTCTTGCAATCTGCCTCATCCCCAGCTCACGTCATCTCCCGACGCCTCCCACCTGCATCAAATCGACCGACGACACGGCCCTTTAGGCTCTCCACGCTGCTCTGGATTCATTTTCAAGTTGACGTTGCCTTAGCGTTACTTTCCTCCATCTCCTTGCCATCTCCTCTTCTCCATCTCCTCCAGCCATTGCATGTGGAAAACACGTCGATAACACGCCGATATCCATCGGGCTAAGGAAGGCAAAGGCGTGGTCAAGAGAAAACAAGAGACGCGTTTGACGCGTTGTTTGCCAAGAACAACGGCTACAAACAGGCGCGGTTCTATTCGTGGAAAGTTCAGAATAAGTCGGGAAAATATATTCAGCACCTTGTGGGAACCCAAAGTGCATAGATTTTCGGACTAAATTGATATGCCGACATTGCTGGCACCCCTCCAATATTCTACATAACATTGTTTATGCTTATGGAAAATCACCCAGTTCCCATAAGAATATTTTGGAATAGACATGGAATATAGTAAGAAGTTGACTGCTACTGTACCTAATTGCATGTTGTTGCAGTTTGCAACAACACATCTACGGTCTATCCACCACGGGCAAGCTCCCCATCAATAGATCTAGACAAGAGGCAAGCGGATCACTGATCTCGCACACAGATCAAAGCACGTGCCGACCATCCCTTGCCAAATTGGGAAGCCTTGCTCAACGCGCCTTTTGTCTTGAGAGAGTGCATATGGTGCTACTGAAAAAATGGAATGGCTTATATGTACAACTAAACTTCGAACCTCCATAGAGTCAGAAAATGAGCCCCATGCCTCGGGTTGATCTTGCGATAAATTCAATTTGGCTTCAGAAGGGTAAGGGTGAGTGTCAGTGGCTCTGAGATCAAGGCATGTATTTTTCAGGCCCTTGCTTCCACTCAATGTATGTACGCAGAACGACAGCCAAAGAGATTTTGAACACCGCCCAATTTGGCAAGGTGTGTGAGATCAGTGATCCACTTGCCTCTTGGATCTAGACGTGTTCGCTTGTCGCCGGCTGCCGGCAGCAGCCACAAAAAGTAAATTAGGACAAAACGAATGAAGAAATCTGGCTTGTGGGGGCTCTAGTCTGTGACCGGAGGAGTGGTTGACCACTGGTCCAGTGCACACGGCCCAGGAGGGATGGGTACCAGCACTGGTACGGGGCGGCATGAGATTGATGGGTTGCGTCGGTCCGATTCAGTCGTGACACATCGCCCAATTGAGGCGGAGGAGTTGCCAAAACTGTTTATTCTCTTCTATTATATTCTGGAGAGGGGGGGGGGGGGGGGGGGTACCCCTCTCCAGATTAGAATAAATTTAAGGTTTATTGGAAGGGAAAAGCCAAGAGGTGAGTGATCTCTGGATTGTGGAATTTGATCTGTTCACGTGAGCACCATTGATCCGATGAAATCAATACGGCATGGCTGCCAGCCGATTCCAAGCCGCCTCCAATTATTGGAGCTCGTTCTCGAAGGAAATTAGCCCAAAAATCCAGTTATGTGATGTTCTAGCTGTAGAACAAAATCTGTGTCTGCATCGTCTTCGTCACCTCCGCCAAGAGCATCGGGATCAAGAGACCAATTTTTTGAATGTATATTTGCATTATTGAACGGTGGAGTATCATTCACAAATACATTTGCTTTCCATTTGAAGGTTTGCAGATTGGCAGTGCGTTGGACGAGTGTAGGATAAGCCAATCGCGCGCGAAATGGCAGCTGTTTGCTCGCCTGATGGCCGAGCTCACCGCTGACTCAGAATCACCTTATTTGGGGTGGGTAGGTCCCCGTGGGAATTTATCCACGATCCAAAGATCGCACGCCTCTTGGGAAAAGCATGAACATCCCTTGTGTAGAGGATTCATCCGGCGGATCTGGCGGATCCGCCAGATGCCCTCCTTAAGGTGATTCCTTACCCTTCAAGACTTCTTATTATCGTTCAAGCCCACACATAATCGTCCAAGAGTCGTCCTCTAAAAGATTGAAGAGCCACATTCACGGATGAAAACACTGTCCTTCACGATTATTTGTTCGTTGTTCATGACACTCGACACTGTTCAGGATCGCCCCACACCCTTCAGGCCCTCTTAAAACCTTCAGGATCGCCCCGCACCTGAACGGCGTGAGCCATCCTTCACGATTCTCTCGCGTCCTTCAAGGTGTTTCAGAACCTGAACGATATGTTGAATTCCCTTAAGGCTACCTGTCAGATCCTCCAAGGCGTCAAACCCTTCACGATAATTTTGTCCCTTAAGATGCTTTCGTCCCTCAAGGCCCCCGTTGAATCCTTCACGATAATCAGATTTACCATGGTGCATCCCGGCATTATTGACGATTCTCAGCACTCTTTCAGGTTCACTTTGTGCCTTCAAGACCGGAAGGAATGAGAAGATCGAGATGGTCTGGTTACTTACTGTGCACGTCGTTCAGGGGGCGAATATATATATTCGCGCTGTAGTGGCATATATTCCGCGCGGGTGCCCTGTATACTTGTACACTAACTGGACAAAAGAAATGTCACATGCTTGTTTGGTCTATATCTCGGGAATGAATGTACATTTCGGCATGAAACTGAATGTGAGGCAATGGAGGAGGATCCCTCCATCATTATGTGCCAGCGAAACAATCAAAATATATTGATCTGCCATCGGCACAGGCAAAACTCGCTCTTTTGCGGGCCCTGTAGCGTGCTATTTCCTGTATATTTTTGGGCGATTCAAAGTGGGGGATTGATGGGGGCCTCTATGAATTCAATATGGGTGACTCAGGTTTCTCTGAAAATAAAATTTTGCCAAGTTACAAAATTCAGATTTTGACTTTTTTCAATATATCGTCTGTGCCGATAGCGGATCAATATCTTTGATTGTTTCGCTGGCACAGAATGATAGAGGGGATCCTCCTCCATTGCCTCACACTCAGTTTCATGCCAAAATATGCCTTTATTCCCGAGATATAGACCAAACAAGCATGT